CCGCCGCCGCCATAGGGAGGACGTTTTCCTCCTTACCTGATCGCCCGCAGTCCGAGCACGAGACCAACTCCTCCGGTTGTCCCGTTTTCTTGTTGATTTTGGAGTCTCCCAAGCAAAAATCGCAGTAGTTGTTGGGCAGAGCTAAACCGTCGGGTCCTTTCTTGGCTGGAAAAACACAACGGGAGAGACGGATTAGCCGCGGGGCGAAAGGTTTTTTCTATCGGACCGGGAGAAAACACATCCACGGCGCAAATATTGATGCTCGGAGAAGCTTTTCCGGCAAGCGAGGTGACGCCACGGCGCTCGAAAGCGTCGGGGAAGGGACGCTGCTCCCTCCCAGCCCCGGCGTGGGTGATTTTACGGCTTCGTTGCCTTTTTTTTTGGGGGGGGCAGAAAGAGGGGTGGTGGTGGGGGGGTGGTTTGCTTACATTTTTGCTCCTCCGATCGCTGGGAGACGGGAGGCGGGGGTTGCGAATCGTCTTTTTCGTCGCCTTCTTCCTCGGCCAAGTGGGAGTGAGCGTAGTGTTAGCTCAATCCCGGCCGGTTCTTGTATCGCTTCCCGCAGACTACGGATAAAACCAAGGGAAAAACGTGAGCTCAAAAGCATCGGGGAAGAGAGATCCCCAAGCCCTAAAAAATCATCCCCACACCTCATCCCATCTCCGGGCTTTGAACGCCGACCCCTTCTGCCCCTAAAATCACCTGGAATTTAGGAAAACCGCCCAGGAACGCCCTAAGGAAGGGATTCGCACCTCCGCCGCCGGAGGGTAAAGCTGTTTTGGTGGGCGAGGGGATACCCACCGCCTCCAAATAACGACGGCAGCTCGTTAAAGCGCAGCTTTAAAAGAGCGAAACCCCGCGGCGATCAATCCCCAGCGGCCAAACCCAGGCGGAAAAATAGGGGGTATTTTCTACCCCCAAAAATCACCTCTGTAAAGCAGCCGGGTGAAAAACCGCGGCTGTTTTCACCACGCTACGAAGGGGAAACTGCTTTTTTTTTTTTTGTGATGTTTTTGATGTTAGTTTTTTCGGGGGGAGAGCCCGAGGAGGGAAACCGCAGCCGCCACGGGCACATCTCAGCTCCGCTCCCTCCCGGCTCCTCCAAACGTGACCCCCCCCAAAAAAAAAAACAACCCGGATCACCCCAAACGCCATCGATTTGCCCCTTTTCCACCCCGTTTCTTGCGGGGTCGGGAGCTTTCACCCTCGGTCTAGCGGCAGGCGCTTCCTCGGGGAAGACCTCGGAGCACCCACGGACCGGGGAAGTCCTTTCCCTGCCGGGGAAGGGGCTCCCGGCTCACCGTCACCGCTTTTCCGGGGGTTTTTTGGGGCAGCTTTTTAGCCGTCAGCCTCCGAGAACCCCCCAAAATCCCCTTTTAACCCCCTATAAGCGCGGGCAGGACGAGCGCTATGCCCTGCACCCTCCTCCAGCCGGCACGAGGACGGGCATCGGGGTGAATTTCCCCCCCTAGAAAGAGCCGGAGAGGGATTTACGGGACCCGGTGGATATTTTTAGCGATGGGTTTTCCCCATATCTTTCCACGGCATCAAGGCAAATCAGGAAAAAAATCACTTTGGGATGAGATTTCCTTTTCCTGGAGCTTTTCCTTAATATCCCGGACTTTTCTCGATTCAATTCCAGGCTCATTTGAAGCCTGGAGAAACCCCAGCGGGGTTCGTATCCCCTCTCACGCCATCGATTTGCTCCAAAAATAAGGAGCGGGGGGGCGAAAAAGAAGGGGGTTTGAAATCCCCCGAAGAGAGCCCGACGCAAACACCCGGCGTCGGTTTTTCGGGATAAAAGCCACAGAGATTCCTCCCCCGGGGAGGAGGAGGGGGGGGAACCGCTCGGCCTCGGCGGGTCGGCAAAGAAGCCGCGAGTCCGGCGAAAGAAGAAGGGGGAGGGAAAAAAAGGAGGAAAAAAAAAAAAAAAACAACCACCCAACAAACCAACAAAACCCAACAGCCCGAAAAGCAGCAATTACAACGTTATTACATCAAATTCTGACTTTCCGGAGCCAAACGAGGGCACGGCGGGGTCGGCCCCGTGAGCAGCCACGCGGAGCTGGCAAAGAGGCGTTTTCTTCTTCTCCTCACCCCCCGCCGAGTTTAAAATTGACCTTTTTCCTCCCCAAAAGAAAAAAAAAACCCCAAAAAAAACCCCGCCAGGCAGGCTGATATCTTAAACACGAGTCGGGTTTCTTCCTCCCGAGGAGCGGGGGAGAGGAGCCGCCGCCAAGACGAGCTTCGGGTC